ACTCGACGTTTCGGGATTTGATGCACCGAGGAAGGCATGTGTACCTATGGTCGAAGCTACGCGCAAAGTGCACAAGGTTGTAGAAAACTGCACATGAGAAATTGCGTGGCTCAGTTTGCTGCGACCTGAGGCCACCAACATTCTTTCTAGGCCTCATCTTTCGTTCGAAAGCCCTTCTAGCCGGATAGAAGCCCAACTGACAGACTAACACAAGCAGAAACCCGTCCGCCCAGACACGCCGAAGTCAGATACAGACAAATCCCGTATCTGGAGCTCTTTGATAAGTGGAATGTCGAGGCTCTCAGTGCGCACATTACAGTCATCTGCTTGTCCAGTCTCGATTCGTAGTGCGTCCTCCAACATCTCAACTCGCAAAAAATGTTTCAGTCACATCCTCCACAGCAGATCGCGGCCTTTAGGCTCGCATCCTCACTGCTCGTGGCAGGCTCTGCCTCTGCAGAGGCAGGCGAGGGACAGAGGGTTGAGCTGGTGAGAGCTCGGTCATTCGGGCGCAGCTCGAGGTATTGAGGGCTTTTGCTCGTTGGCGATGAAGCAGCGCACACATCTCCGGTTCTGAAAGCACACGGCCACCACAGAATCCGATCGCCCCAAGCTGCAAGCTGGCGACCCCGATAATCTGAAGCTTGAGGAATCGCTTCCTGCAACTCCCTCTATTGCTGTCGATGCCATGTCCTGACTAAACACAGACTGTAGCAGACCCCAACGCTTTCGTGAGCGCTGGAGCCCTGGGCCCTGAACCCGAAAACGCCGAAAACTTCAAGCCTGATATCCTGACCTCCAAATCCGGGAATCCACTTGTCTAAGCGCTCAAAAATACCAGCCTCCTCGGAGATGCCAACGTCACCCCCAGCGTCACCCCCCGGGTGCCAATAGGAAAACCAGGTGCGATACCTGATGGTTCGGAAGACACCAACTAAAAAGGCACAAGTCCATGTGACAAAAACAGTTTGCAAAAAAGACACATCAATAAAGCTCCACAACATCTAGTTATACGCTTGACATGTACATCTGTGTGTGTGTATGTATATATATATATATAAAAACTCATACAGGTATGTGAGCATGTGTATATATATATATATATACATATGCCTGTATGTGATATATATATATATATGTATATGTATATATATATATAGACGCATGGATATAAAGGTATAACATGAGCACACATGCATACATACAGCATGTATGTATGTATGTATGTATGTATGTATGTATGTATGTATATGAATGTATATGAATGTATATGTATGTATATGTATGTATATGTATGTATATGTATGTATGTATGTATGTATGTATGTATGTATCTATGTATGTATGTATGCATGTATGTATGCATGTATGTATGCATGTATGTTTGCATGTATGCATGTATGCATGTATGCATGTATGCATGTACGCATGTAGGTATGTACGTAAGTAAGTAAGTATGTATGTATGTGTAAAAAGAGACATAAGTGCACATGTATGTATGTATGTATGTATGTATGTATGTATGTATGTATGTATGTATGTATGTATGTGTGTGTGTATATATATATATATATATTGTGTGTGTGTGTGTGCGCTCGCGCGCGCGGGTGTGTGCGTGTATGTCTGTGTGTGTGTGTCTGTGTGTGTGTCTGTGAGTCTGTGAGTCTGTGTGTCTGTGTGTCTGTGTGTCTGTGTGTCTGTGTGTATGTGTGTGTGTGTGTCTGTGTGTGTGTGTGTGTCTCTGTGTGTGTGTGTGTGTGTGTGTCTGTGTGTGTGTGTCTCTGGGTGTGCGTGTGCGTCTCTGTGTGTGTGTGTCTCTGTGTGGGTGTCTGTGTGTGTGTGTGTTTGTGTTTGTGTTTGTGTTTGTGTTTGTCTGTGTCGTGTGTGTGTGTGTGTGCGCTTTTGTGTAGACTGGCCCTGAATCCCGTCGCATGTGCTGTGGGCCTGAGCCTTTCATGGAGCCTTTCATGCGACAGGTAAAGATTGAAACGACTGAAGCAACAAGGACGCCAATGTATTCCGGAACAAGTCTGCGGCAGCTTACCAACACAAAAAAGACATGTAGCGAGGGCTTCTCTGCTAACCACAAAGTGTGTCGGCGGGCACCGCCCAGCCCCTCCTGCTTGAACCACAACCCCGACACCGGGCTCTTGCACGTACAGAGATGTATCTTATCTCTTCGGTGCGATTCGAATTAGAACCCTGCGATTGCCCCGAGAGCAACAGATCCAAGCTTCCTGAGTTGTAGACTTTCACTGAAACTTAGGGCAAAGGAGTTTGGGGTTGATTCTGAGTTTGCCCTTTGCCGAGTGGCCAATCGGCATCCTGGCATAGAAGAGTGAAACTTCTGAGAGTTTCACAGTGAACAGACAGATTTTGGCGGAATACCGTCATGGACTCGGTGCACTCTCTGGACCAGGGCAGTGATAAAGGTGTTCCGACGGAGAGGGTGTAACGGTATAAGTATGCCACTTGCAGAAATCGATTTGGGGTCAAGACTGCTTGACATCGCCATGCTGCGGCGTCCTTCCATTCCCCAAGCCAGACACAAAGGCCAACTGTCGCGAAGTGCTGCATCCTACTCTTTCAAATCTAGCATGGCTGCTTTAGGCGTAGCAAACGAGAGCCCGGATGAAGACGGTAACTTGCCCGTATCAATCTGATTGCAAGTCACGGGTCCTGGAACTTGACTTCGCAGTGTCCACAAACATGGTAGTCACAGTCCCAACAGGCATGCATCCTGCCAGAGGGTTCAGAGCAGGCCCAGGATCTGAAGGAGTTGGAGGCGTCTGAGAAGAGAGGAGGCTATGTTGAGGCTTCACAGGTCAGGGGAACCCTTCCGAAGAACGACAAACCTCAGATCTCTGCAGAGATCCGACCCCGTCTCCATCTTCTCCTCCTTATCAATCTGACGGTCCTACACCGACACACCAGAAAAGCCCTGCACCTTGCAAGGCTACACTAGAAGCCATTGACCAAAAACTTCACAATCCGACCCCGGATCCGACAGCCACTGACTGGTGCAAATGCTCTTAACCCAAGGTCCCCAAATCCTTTTTGGACAAACCTTCAGACACCCCACCTCTTTCGGACTCTGGGTGGGAGATGCAGACCCGGAATCGAAAAGGCTTCGCTCTGGACCCGGCGCCCTGCAAGACAAATCCTAAACATCCGACGCTGCAAAATCACAGTCATGAATCGTATGTACCCTGGACCGTAGTTAAGTTTAACGTTAACCCTATGCAGCACTCCGTAAGTCCTACATAAATCTCCAAAGGCTGCAGGTCCTGCGTCCGACGCCCTGTGGTTGTCCACAGATGTCGCACCTTCATCAATGGACGAATGGAGACACAGACAGCATGTCATGTAGTGGAGCGTAACGTAACATAATGAACATGCTCATGTAGATGTGGTAGATGAAACTGCAACTGTATCTGTACATGCAAAATGTATAGATAACTGCATACATAGATTCAGGCATGAATCAATGCATCCGTGCATCTATGTATGCATCCATGGATACATGCATCCATACATACCCACATACGTATATATACATACACATACATACAGCATACAGACAGGCAGGCAGGCAGGCAGCCAGCCAGCGGAGATCCCCAAACAGTGAGAGACCATACCAGAAGAATGCCACTGTCAGGAAGTCACGACCACTGTCGCACTCGAACGTGCCTGTACTGTTTGGGAAAGTACAGACCGCAACTACTGGTAGTTGTCATATGTTTTTGTTCTAGCATTTACGCCATGTTACCACCCACGACAAGCGCTGCGACCAGGATGACCATGACGATTAGGACGACAACGACCAGGACCAGGAGACCACTAAGAGACAAGGAGGAGACAAGCAAGAGACCAGCAAGTGACCACCACGACACAAGGAGACCACGAAGAGACCAGCACCAGCAGACTGTAGAGAAGACCAGCGCCAAGGATACCAGCAGGACACGATCAAAATGCGCTTCTGCAATTACTGGCACATGCAGAACCACGCCACGAATCCTTTCCGCCAAGTACTCGCGGGATTCAGAAACATTCGAGAACATTGCCCTTTCCCAAGTACTGGCGGCTCGCGGACCAACGCGAAACTGCCTTCCCCAAAGTACCGGTGCAATTCGGGAACACGAGATTCATGCTTCTCGCCGGTAGCCGGAGGCATCCAGAGGACACCTGGATTCGTTTCCCTACTGCGGCCATTCCAAGCTTTCCAGAGGCAGCAGTGTCCATGTCGCATTTATTACAATGAACCCTGGCCCCGAGCGTGCGCAGCACACACACAATCCTCTGCAAAATACTCGGACGCCAGCGACAAGTATTCACCGCACCACGGCGGGAGCTGCGCGCCGCGAGCATCCTACTGTGTAGATGATATGTGACACAGGGAAGCATGTTTGCGGGCGCCACGCGCACGCCGCAATCAATTCTCTTTGCCCTGAACGCCCTACATTGATAGTGTTACCACACTGTGTTGGGAATTGCTTGATTTCCACATACATGCTTACCTGCTTACTTACTTACATGCATTCATACATCTACCTACCTACCTCCCTCCCTGCCT